GAGATGGCAGCTGCAGAACATCCAAGACGGCAAGATGCTGGGTGACCTGACCTACAGCAGCAAGGGAAGGCGAGATGCTGGAATCTCACCCTTCGCCCTTGAGAAGCTGCCAAGAAACCACTCCCCCAGAACAGGAGGTGTGCGCGGGCTGCCACTGCACCCATCTGGATGCGTGATTCACAGAGAACCCTTCAGGACCCTGAAGAAATGTCTAAGGACAAGACAGGAACAAGAAAATCTGGCTCTCGGCTCAACCCTCCACAACTTAACTGCTGTGGTGACTGGAAGCACCCAACAGAACAGACCTGGATAGCAGCTGTCTGCGGTGAGGAAAAAAGCCAGGCAGGACTCATCTCTCTGAAAGCTGACCACCAATAGCTCCAAGCAGCCAAGGGGGCTTACATTCTGATTAAGTTTTTTTGTGGGGGGAATGTTTGTTTGTTTGTTTGCTTTTACTCTTTAAAATAATTCTAACTTCAGTTGGTAGAATGAAACCCTCTCCAAGTACTGCAGAAAACTGGATACGGTATCCTCTAATTTCAGAACTTGGGAGGTAGAGGCAGGATATTAACAGTTCAAGGTCATAATAAGATGATCCTGAGGCTGGCCAGAGATACATGAGACCTCATCTTAAGAAACCGAAATAATTCTGTCAGAGTGTCGACAGACGTGTGCTGGGTGCCACCTGTCCACACACAGCTCCCAGGGAACAATCTGTATTTATTTCCAAAATAACATAGTGAAGAGCAACATAGTGGGTTTTTTTGTTTTTTTGAGAGAAGGAAACTGAGGCTTGATAGGATTTACATGGTATGTTCAGTCACCCAGCTGTCACTGAAGGCAACTGGAAATAGGTTGAACAAATGACCTCCCGAGACAAGCAGCTATGGTTTCAAGAGACACAATGAACATACACATGAATCAAAACAGCACATGTCCCCCTGCTAATTCGTCTTTTTTTTTTTTTTAATTTATGGTTGTGTGTGCGCGCGCATGTGCGACACATGTGTGCCGACGCCTGCAGAGACCAGAAGAAAGAATGTCTGATAGCCTGGAGCTGTCATTACAGGTGGTTGTAACTTCATGTGGTTGGCTGGGAAGAGACCTTGGGCCCTCTACAGGAACAGCAATGAGCGCTCTCTGCTGAGCCAACTCGTCAGCCCCACACGGTTTCATGTCTGTGCAATGTTTATGGTTTTTTATGTGTTCATTAAAAAAAAATAAAGCCAATTTGACTAAAAGAAATTAAACTTGTGGAAACAGTAATCAGAAAGAGTGGAGATTTTCTGAGTTTGAGAGTTCGAGGCTAGCCTGGTCTACAGAGTGAGTTCCAGGACAGCCAGGGCTACACAGAGAAACCCTGTCTCGAAAAAAAAAAAAAAAACAAAAACAGAAAGAGTGGAGACTGTGTTCTTCTACCAAAGGACAGTAGGGACAGATGGTGAGGCAAGCCCAGGCTCCACTCTCTGCCCACGGATGCTAAGGAGTCTGTAAAAGAAAAAGAAGCCACAGGCTAGAACAGAACTCTCCCAGGCAGCTGACACTTGGACCCAAAGGAGACAAAGAAAGGACATGGGGTGACTGATCCCTATCAGCCTCAGGCCTGTCACAGCTTCAAATTAAGTCTTTTTTTTTTTTTAAAGAGTACCATGACCATTTTAATTTTTAAAACGGTGGAGGTGGGGCAAAATCCTCTTACATAGTTTAAAAATGATTGCCCCTGTGAAAATAGGAAGACACGGAGCCATCTCATCTCTTCCTGATCAAAATGTACTTTGATAATGAATGGCCACTAGCCTCCAAAGCATAGTCCCTAGGCTCCCTAACAAAGCCATGTGAACACTGGTGTCACAAAGGGTGAGATGGGTGAACGGCGGGATGCCACAGCCTACCTCCGTTGCTCATTAAAATTCTGGACAAAACAGATTTTTTTTTTATTTATACAAGACATTAAAGACTATTATGACAGTACTCATATGAAATCCATTCTTCACTGCCACAGATTTTCTTTGGTCTCAAGTTACAGTTTCTTTCCACCCGTCTTGTTTAACACCTCCACGGAATTTTTCTCTGGCAAGTGTGAGCAGGGAGGGGCGGCCAGAAAGCCGAGAAATGAGTTTTAACCGAAACACAAGCTGACACTTCATTTACAAGCTCCTTACCCAGTCCACACAGAAAGGTACAGTCTGGCCTGGCCTGTCATCATGGCCCCAACACACACACACACACACACACACAAACACACACACACACACACGTTTTATGAAAGGAAAATAAATAAAACACAAATAAGGTTTCGCTCAAAGTTCTAGACTCCTGCCAGCCTGTGTGCTGTCCCCAGCAGTCACTTTGGTCTGGAACCCTGATGGCACAACTACACCTCAACAACACCTGCTTCCCAGGGTTAAGTAACCCCAGAAGCACCTGAAAGGTTACCCCAAGGGCTCAGATAAAGAACACATGATAGTGTCATATAATTGGATAACGTCACAAGGGGAGGAAAATGACCAGAACCCCAGACCCTGGAACTTCAGTAAGACTAACTCTGGTTCTACTCTCCCGTGGTCTGCTGACCTTACAGAGCAATGTCTCCTCATTTCTGACAGGGAGGCAATGCGTCGTGGTAACCCAATAGGACCACACAGCAGTCAACTCTCCAACTGTGGAGGCAGATTCCTAAGTGGTTTTTTATATCTCTACACAACCCGTCAATGTTTCAGCTGTCTCCTCTGTCCAGTGGAACTGACACATCACCCTCATGCAAACTGCCTGGGACACTCATTCAGTGAATAGTGTTACCAGATCTCTCAGAGAACTAGTGTGAGGCCCTAACAAAAATAAGGGTTAAAAGGCAGGAATATTTTAAGTTCAAGGCCTCTCTCCAAAATAACCAGTAACAACAGTGCATCATCCTTGGGCATCGGCAAGTATCAGACCCATGCTAGGAGTATGTTTCTCTCACCTACAGCAAACTTTGAGGAAGGGGATGGGCGTTCAAGGAAGTTATGTGATTTGGGCCAAGTTCCTAACAGTTAATGGCTGGCACAGCTAGCATCTGAAACCAGGTGGTCCAGCTTGCACTCCAACTCCATCGTAACGATGCTTGAAACGGCCATGACAATGGCTAGGATGAGGCTAGAGGCCCTGGTCAGGACGCTCTTGGTTTTTGCACAGAAACCTTCTTGGGGGAGCTGACAGCATCACTCCTGGTTCAGAGATGAAGAAACTGAGACAGGGCTGGGATGCAGGTGTAGATATGGGACAGCAAAGACCTTTACAAAGTGACATGTCATTAAACGTTTTAAGAAACAAGGGTCTCATTACTAAATCTCTGAATTCCCAAGGCCACTGATCTTTTTCAACCGGTTTGATATTGACACACATCTGAGAACTTACAAACACCCCAGGCTTAGGCTGCAAAATGGGGACAGTCCATGTTCCTTTGACAGATCTGAGATAACATCTATCTTGTTTTCAAGCAATCACAACACATTAATGAGAAATAGCACCTTCCTGCTGAAGAAGAAAGTCAGTGAGGAGAGAAAGACAGAGACTGAGGGGGTGGGTCTGAATCCACGGTTTCACCAAGTCAGATTTTCCCAGTTTCCCTAAAGGGAAATCTGATCCAAGTTGTGAGTGATCCAATGACTAACCTGGAAATTTGAAGAGTCACACTAGGGAAGAAATGGCAATTCTTCCAAACCCAGGAAATACTGCTGGTGTAGAGACAGAGAGGCTCACACACAATCGTGAAAAGCAATTCACAGTTAAGGCCAACCCCAAAGTTTAGGCCAGGTAAAGGAATGTAAGCCCTGCATTAATTGATTTGTGTAAGCGTTGGGGAGGTGGGGGGGAAGCCACCTTCAAGTATGAATTTCTGCTCACTTAAGAGATACCAGTTCCATCTTAAAAAAAAAAAAAAAAAACCCACTTCACTTACTCACTCAGCTGGCAGGTTCCAAACCTAAAATTCTCAAAATACCATTTACAACAACCACCCTTTCCTTTGCTAATGTGCAAAACCATTTTCTCTTCTACCCGACTAGAAGGCTCCACTCCGAGAGCCTCTGCTCAAGAGAATAAACTGAATTTCCCAAGAGCTGCACCTGCACCAACAATCAGACACTTGATAGCCCTTTTCCCAAGAATGTCAAGGCACATGTTTTAATGCGGTACAGTGGACAGGAAGAACAGTACAGCAGACAGGAAGGACAGATGTAAAAGGTACGAGGACCTGAACCCCGTAAACCAGCCAGCGCTGCATGCAGGTCTGCCTCCAGCTGCCTCCTTAAAGCCGCAGCTGTCAGGCACAGGGGAAACATTGTTAACTACAGACTTTACAGAAGTGCAGCACTTCTCATCCTCTGAGTACGTCTTGCAGTGCTACTCCTATGGGGTCACGCTGCTGTCTCAGGCTCCTCCTCCCAGGCCCCAGCTCTCTGAATGCAGAGGCTCTCTGAGCAGTGTTAGTTTCTTCCAGATCTGATTGATCCAAAACCTGAAACTGGGAGCATCCCTAGCTCCCTCCCCGCACAGCTTTAGGGGGCTCTACGGAAAGTTTATTTCTTTCCAAGAAAGGATAAACTGTTTGCTGAAATTCACCTATACTTCAAAACCTCCAAACTGTTAAGACCTGGACAGAGTACCCTCCGAAGAAAAGCATAAGGAAATGTTCAACTTTTCCTGACAGGATCTCAGCGATACTTTAGAACAAATAGAACACTTGGCGTAAACACTGCAGCGGATGGTGCTGAACCCTCATCTGAAAGACCACATTGCCCCCTCTCTCTCCCTGGCTGGATGCTTGGAACCCACATCGACATGCTGACTTGGAGGGGCAGGGTCATCTCGAAGAACCGAAGAACCGCTCACCTGGGCTTTTCAACTCCCCCAGCTGATACCCTGGAGACAGAACCATCAGCCTCCAACAGTTGCCAGTGCTCGGCTTGAAATGAGAAAGCCTTGTTAAAATCCCACCCCCGGCTCTTCTACCTACTTACCTTGGGTTGCGCTCGGCGAGGAAATGCAACTTTGGGGTCAATCTGGAGAAAAATAAAATAAAATAAAAAAATGAAGAAGTCAGTGGAGTAGTTTGGAGAGAGGAGGGGAAAAAAACGAATGACCAGGCACCTAATTATTAATCACTCATTTCTCAGGCTTAGAGCTCAGCTTTTAGTAACTTCTGGGTAACTCAAAAGCCCCCTCAGCTCTGATCTCAACTCTCACCATCCCTTCCTTCTCCCCATGGGACTTATAAGGTTCACCTTTCTGGAATGTTCTACCATGCATTGTAGAGAGTGAAGTGCTTTACAAGTCAGAGCTCATGCATTCGTACTGAGACGCAGGACTTCTCTTCCACAGACCCTGACTGCTACCCAGAGCTGATGTACAGTGTGCAGCCAGGAGGAAAAAAATTGGCACAATGTTATCTGAAGGAAAAACAAAAATCATAATCTCAAAATTAAATGTTCGCCCAGCTATAGTGATTCTTCTTCTCTCTGGCAAAGCAGGAGAAAGGGGGATTCAAAAAATAAAAATCAAAACCTAACAATATCTAAAAACTCTCCAGTTACAAAACACAATACTCAGCTCAGATTAACTCACTGGTGTTAGCAAAATAAAAATTACTCTGGATGATTAAAAAGACCTTTTACAGCCAAGCACAATGGCTCACACCTGTAACCCCTACACTTAGGAAGCTCAAGGAGGATCACTGAGGTGGAAGTCCCTCTGGGTCACCATAGCTGAGTTCTAGGATAGCCTGGGCTACAGAGAAAGACTCTATCTCAAAAAAAAAAAAATCATTTGCATTTGCCTATTGGTTAATCTCAGAAAATGTAGATGTCAGTGACTATAGGGCAAGCTGACTTTCGTTTCTTTAAAAAAAAAAATTATAGTAAAAAGGGAAGAGAAAGGTGTACATATGAATTAAATCCACATGGATTTTAAAAAAAAACCCACAGGGGTGAAACTACATGAACAACTCAAAGTCCAAATTAGAAAGGCCATCGTTAAAAAGAGAACGACTGGACAGACCTAATGTAATAACACAAGTATTCCCCGATCCCACCTCCATCCCAACAGAAAAAGCTTCCCAACTCTACAGCAGCTGCCTGCTTTGCAGAGCACATGATTCTCCACCAGTGACTACCTTCACAATTCCCACAGAAGCACTTGAGTGTAACAGCTGATGCGAGGAGGGGGGAAAAGTTACCGCCTAGATAGAAAACCAAGGAATTTTAAAAAACAAAAATTTCCATTGGCAGTTTCCATTAGCTTTCTAAACGTCACAAATGTTTAAGTAGAAGTTAACATGGAGGGGGGTGTAGGTAGGTACTGCTACAAGGTATTTATTTATGAGCTCTGGCCTTTGTGTTAGAATTTCCCCCTTTTATGAGTAAATTTGAACCTCAGGTCAGTTCTGTCACTGGAGAAAACAGTAATCATGCTTTGAGAAAAACTCAAAGGGAATGAGATATACACACACACCCCCATAATCCCCAAGTCCCCTAGAGCCCCAGCCCATAAGAGATACAAAGATAAAATCACTTTTATTAATGCAGCTTCAAGACCTCAAAATCTGCTTTGTGCTTCCCACCTTTAAGCATTACCTGAGAAATGAGAGATTACCTTGCAAAAACTAAAAGAGACCAAGATCTCGGATCTAGGAAACTACCCTTTCGTAAAGATTAATATTACTGCGTCTACAGGTGTGCCCAGCACTGACTAGAGTTTCTCTACAAAAGAAATACAACAGGTGTGGATTTCCATTCTGTCGCCAAAACCAAGACAGATGCTTGTCTTTGTTCAGTCAAAAAAAAAAAAAAAAAGATGCCCTCCCAAGGCTCGAATTGATCTAACCAACACACAGGTGCAGTGGGAAGTCACCTTGTTTGTGTGAGAATAGATGAGGTACAAAGCAGGGAATGGCTGGGAACTGGGCTGAGAAAAGTACAGGGAAAAAAATAAAGTAGTAAGATTTAAAAAAAAAAAAGAAGTAAAATTACAAAACCAAACGCCAATTTGAGACTGCACTGTATGTGTGTGGTGGTGACATGAGAATGTACCCTGAGATCAGAGTTCTCCCATGTGCAAAGTTTTCCACACTGAGACCTCCAAGGCCTAGGAGGTGGCAAGGCAAGAAGGCAAATCCCAACCTTTTGTACATCCTAGTCAACGAGAGAGAGAGAGAGAGAGAGAGAGAGAGAGAGAGAGAGAGAGAGACAGAGAGAGACAGAGAGAGACAGAGAGAGACAGAGAGAGACCCAAAATTAAAACGTTAGTTACTTAGGTACAGCACACTAGTACTGGCTCTAGAGTCCACTAGAAAACACTAGGGTACTATTTTGGATGCGAATGGCCTTTACCTAAACAAAGCTTTTAAGGGAACAGTAAACAAGATCCTCGTTTCCATGTCAATAAACCAACCGCTTCTGCCTCCTGCACTGAACGTTGAAACAAAGTCAAAAGCTAGGTTATACTAAGTAACAGCAACCAAAACGTGTCTACAAAACAAGGGTAGAAAAGCTCAAGACCCAGCAGTGGATACAGAGGATAGTGAAGGATCTTGACCAGCAAGCACCCTTGAATACCAAACTCCAGATCTCCCACCCAGGCAAAAGGTGTAGATGAGCCGTCTCAGATTGCTTTGATTTTTTTCCTGCGAAAGCTTCCTAGCTTTGTAATGCGGCTAGCGAAGAAGTCAGAGAGAAAAAAAATAAACTGTTCAGACATTCCTTATCACCTGACTAATGATTATTCTTGATATTAAGTGATCTGACAGTATGACCAGGCTAGGCTGCAAGCTCTGACACGTCTAGAACAATTAAAAAATGACTTAAGTGCCTGAGGTCTTTTCTTGGGGGGTAAGGGCAACACCTGACCTCGCTGATCATAAACAAGAGGGTGAGTTTGCAAAATCAATTCAAGTGCACCAAAGGTTACCCGGCTCTTTTCCTCCATTCAGAGTTTAAAAAGTCGAAGGGGCTTGGAAGACCCTTGCTTTCTGCTGACTTTACAGAACAGGGGACTGAGGGTCAAGTTTACAGTGGGCGGCTGCCTCACACACACCCCCCAAAGCTCCCACAAGAACAGGGGCGTCCTATACAGCCAGCCAAAGCCACATATCACCTTGAGGCCTCCACCTTAAGCAGTGGAATAAATAAGTAAATAAATAAATATTTTAAAAATATATACTAGTGAAATTCTGGTAAGCAAACGGGGAAGGGAGGAGAGGTAGGAAGCGAGCACAGAAGCTAAGCAAACCACTGGGAACTCCCCAGTCTCCTCCATCACTACATTTATTATTCCAGACTGACATTCCCCTCAACCCCCCCCCCCTTATTCTCTCTGACCTCCACCTAAGGACTTTCACCTCTAAACTCTGGATTTTAAAAACTTCTAAGGCTGTAAAAGTATCCACACACAAATGAAAGACCTGAGAAGGGGGTGGGGAGATTCGCTTTGAAACCCAGGGTTTATCAGCTTTCAATTAAATCCACTCGATGCCGAATTGCCTCAGTCTGCATCTCCCTTCCTTTCTCAAACCACATCTCAAATCACTAGGAGTCCCAGTGAAACCTGTTGCCTGGACCTAAGATGAGCGCCCCCTCCCACTGGCCCCACCCCTGGCCCCTCCACCAGGAAGCAGGCTGTGCCTTCCTTCTACAAGCCAATCCCAATCCCACAGGCTGAGCTCGGCTGACAAAGAAAGTTCCATTTGCTCTGCGGTGGAGTTTCTTTGCAAGGTCCCTTGGCGGGAGGCTAGCCTCTCAGGGAGCCGACCCTCCTCCCCCCAACCTTGGCGTGGCAGTCTCTGAAGCTGCAGTGGGACAGACACTAAAAAGGAACCCCCCAAAACCAGCCACCACCGCAGCAAACTTCTGAGCCAACTCGCTAGCTGTTTAAAAGTACCCAGTTCTAGCAGAGAAGCAAAAGAAGGCGCTGTCCCTTTAAACAGGGCTGTCAATGCCCAGACCGGTACTGAAAAGGGGCAAACAACAACTATTTAAAAAAATAAAAAAAAATAAAAAAAAAGCAACCTACCGTCTTGGAATCTAACTCATGGTGGGGCTGACCTAATACTTTATCTACACTTGCTGGGTCTGCGAAGGTGACGAAACCGAAGCCTCTGGAAGGAGACAAAGAGGGAGAAAAACAAACAAAATGTGACACCACTGAATGCAACAAGGAGACCCTATATGTAGACTGGGTTGCGAATGTTGTCCCCATGCACCCCCATTCCCACCAGCTCCCTCTATTTTCCTCTAGTCCACAGCCCTCTGCCTTGCGAGGAAAAAATACCAAGGTTAGTGGGGGAAGCGGGACGAGGGGGCAGGGCGGCTGGAGGTAACTTGGAACACGATGGTGCCTCCACTCTGGCCGCCTCAGTTTCCTCTCATCCTCTTCTCTTTCTTAAGGCTTTGTTTTATTCCGAAGGAAAACGGGCACTAAGAGATTCATTCACCTCCTAAAGAGGGGACTTCAGAGTTTGGGAGTGTGAAGAAGGCATACATTCAAATTTTTAAATTAAAAAAAAAAAAACTATGTGGAAAGTGTATGAACTGAATGTCATTTTAAACAAGAGAACAAGAAGCGACAGGAAAATGACTTCAAGCGGGAGAGATGGGCGTCTCTGAATCCAGAGTTCGGCCCTAATTAACAATAACCTTTGGGGTTATGGGAGGGGGGAGCGACGTTCCAGCCCAGCCACGCGCCTGAGCCCCATTCTAAATCCGCTTAGCTACTTCCGAAGACACCTCCAAAAATAAAACTAAAACTTTGTTCTAAAATAAAGGCAAAATCGAGAAGGGAATGCGTTACCTGGAGCGTTTCGTTGTGGGATCTCTCATGACCATACATTCTCTAATTTCTCCAAATTTGCTAAAATAGTCTCTAAGGCTATCTGTAGAGAGAGAAAGAGAGAGATGGGGGGTGGGAGAAGGTGTGGAGAAGGGGGGAAAAGCAATGCAAATTTTTTGATCAAGGACAAAAAAGCAAAAGTAGTTTTCTGTTGTTATTCTGTTTTGTTTTTGCAATATTTTTGCACACGCGGGGGAAATTCAGCAACAGAGGTCGCGTAGAGGGCTCGGAAAGGATTTGCTATTTAAAAAAATAACCTTGCACAGGAGAAGTGGGGAGCCAATGGCGGGGAGGGGGGGCTCTTACACTGGGATAACAAAGAGCAATAAAGAAGCCAAGAAGGGGGGGACCCAGGCGTCCCCCCCTCCCTCCCTTACCTGGTGAGGTCTGCCAGCTCAGTCCACCGATAAACATTTTACTAGAGGGAGAAAACATAACCGAAGTGAGCACCGATGTCAGATCGGCCATTTTGACGTGTAACTTACAAAAGCTAAAAGGAAAGCTGGGGGGGAGCGGGCGAGCGCGAGCCTGGAGGTGGGCTGGGGGAGAAGGTGGCGGCCCCACGCCACCCCAAGGTGCGCGAGTGCCCCAGGGGTGCGCGCGGGGGCGCGGGGGGCGCGCGGATGCCCCGCTCCGCACCGTCGCCCGCACAGCCCCGAGCGAGCCCGCGGCGGCGCGGTGGGCAGCGGCTGGAAACTTACCCGGGGTCGTGCTGGGAGTCGTTGGCGCTGCCCGAGGTGCCTGGGCTCCCATTTGCCTCCATAGCGGAGCCCCCCCGCCCCCCCACCCCCGACACACCGAGCCCCACAGCGAAGCGGAGCGCAGCGGCGGCCGGCTCCGAGCCCCAGATCTCCGTCCCTCCTCCCCCGCCTCCTCCCCCCGCCCGGCGGCTGCGAAGCTCCGCGAGCGCCGAGCCGGGCCAGCGGCGAGAGCCCGTCACACGTGGGCTCGGCTCAGCTCAGCCCCGCCGCCTCGCACACCCCCCGTCCCCGCCCCCCCGGCCCATCCCCACCTCTCCCCCTCCCCCTCCCCACCCCCATCTCCTCCTCCTCCTCCCCCTCCTCCCCGCGCACGTGGGGCGGAGTTCTAGAACGTCGTGTAACCAATGCGGTGACGTCACGCACCCCGTTCGGTCCCCCGCCTGTCCGCGCGCGCACACACTCGGCCCCCCGCGGCAGCGGGACCCACCAGGGGCGGCGCGCGAGCCCCGCGACTCGAGGGGGGCCCACGCCAACCGGGCGGGGAGACGGGAAGCGCACCCCGAGTCGGCTCAGATCACATGGGCTGGGTGTGGGGGAGGGGGAGGCGCGGGGAGCTCGGCCCGGGCTGTTCTCCGGGCGGGGAGGCGGCAGCGCCCCCGGACCCCCCTAGTTCACACTACCCATTCAAGTTTGCGGGCCCCTGCGCCCGATTCGGAGGGGCACCCGCCGCCCGCCCTGCCTCTGTGCCCCCGTTTCCAGCCACCGCGCGGAAATTTAGGTCAAGGACGCCGGGAGCACACCCACACCCTGCGCTCCCCTGGGCAGTCCTCGAGATCCCCGGGATCGGGGGGCTTGCGGATGGAGGAGACCCTCCTGCACAAACACCAGCCACAAGTTTTATTTTCCCTTCGCGCGGCAAGTTCTCTGGCTCCCGCTCCACACCGGCACGTCCTGCACGGCTCCCCGCCCTTCCCCGGCAGAGGTACGGAGCCGTGCCCGCGAAGGTTATTTCGGAACTTTGAGAAACTGACGCGATAGATAGCAGGGGGCGAGGAAGCACGCAGGGTTTGCGCTCATTCAGGATTTAATCAAACCGCTATTTGAAATAATAAAGTGGGTTTTTTGGGGGGGGGGTCAAGGTCAAATGATTGGGGTTCAAAGCAAATGTTCCTGGAGAATGAGTAGCAGTTTGGGAGCATCCCGAGGGTGGCTAGGATAGGTGCTTATTTCAGAAAATCCCTCGACCATTCATCTGGTATCTTATTATGTTTAAAGTTACTAGAACTTCCTCTGTAAAGAGTAAAAGTGCCAAGAGTGAAATGGCTATCTCCCAAGACCCGAGGTAGGTCTTTGAGATAACAAAGCACCTTACCCTATTTTTTGAAACCATAAGGTGCCTCACAGATTCTGGCACACAGTAGGTGTTTAGTAATAGTTCCCTTCTCCCCCCCCCACCCCGGCAAAGTGCAAACTGCAAAAGATTGGTGTCTGCAGTTTCCCGGAGGAATCACACTCTTCATATTCCAGGCTGGCCAGATTCAGGCTGTATTCAATTTATAGAGTATTTAAAACAGTGCGGATACAATTATCCTTATTGTTTTAAATTATTACACTAAACCAAGTTAATATGGCATGAGGGGCAACATAGAGTTGTGGATCATCAAGTACCCGGATTAATGTTAAGCACGCATTGATGCCCAATTAACACTTTCGCATTAATTTTCATAGAATTAGGAGACAATGGAATTCACTTAACACCAAAACTGTGCCGAGTCCAATGTGGGTTTGGGGACATTTGGAAAATCTCAACACAGCCAAAGCTTTGAGTGATCAGACTGTCAATCTCTCTGTCCGTTAAATTGGGATAATGCCTCTCTAACAGCATTGATGGGCGGAGCATTTATAGTGAACAATGTAACAATGTCAGAGTCCCTTTTTAAAATTTCCAACTTACATGGATTGTGTTTATTATGAATTGTTACTGAATATAATTTTTAGAAGGCACTTCAAACCACAAACCCTGCTGTTTCTCAACACCAAACAAACTGATTTTTGAGTCTGGCATCCTGTGTGTCAAAGAACTGCATGTTATGATGGTAATTGTTTTGTTTTGTTGTTGTTGTTGTTGTTGTTGTTATTTGGGTTTTTGGGTTTTTTTTTTTTTTTGCGATTATTCTCAATCACAAAATACAGCCAACACAGCTAATTGGATTATATTTTGGATTTTTACAGCAGAACCACAGACCATCAGAGCTAGAAAGGCCTTTCTTTACCCAGCTGCCTTCCTTGAATATGAGAGTCCCAAAGGTGCCAGGCTGTCAGGCTTCCTTCCCATCCTAACCAGTTAATCCCTAAGAGGGGCTCTGGCCATAGTCCAGGGCCCTTTGGCTCTGTAGCGTGCATATTTGTGTTGTCCCTCACTAGGCAGAAGTGAGTGGCTACCTTCCTGATGTAGACTTGAACAAACTGTTGAGTAGTGAGCTGAGGGAAGATCTGATGGGGCAGGGCCCCTAGCTCCACAGTGCCCAAGCCAGAGACTGAGAAAGGACTAAAGGAGAAGTCTACATCACTCCATTGTTTTTACTTAGGTTGGTATTGTTGGAGTTAGAGTCTTGCAATGCAAGAACCCAGACAGGCCTTGAGAGCGTGAGGGATCCTACTGCCATTGGCCACGCCACCACCACCAAGTTTTATTTTCCCTTCTCGGATTGTGTTGTTTTGTTGAGATGGTGTCTCATGCGGCCCAGGCCGATGGTGAACTCCATAGATTTCGGAAGATGGCCTAGTACTTCTGATATTCTTGCCTCTGCTGTTGCGATTATAGCTTTGTACCACCAGGTTTGCAGTGCTGGAGATCAAACCCAAGGCTCCGTGCTTGCTAGAAAGAAGGTTCTACCAACAGAGCTACATGCCCAGCCTTTAGCAGGTTTTTGGCTCGTCGTCCCATCTCCCTGCCCTCACCACGCCCCATGTAGCAACACTTGAGCTACAGGCTTTCTTCCCCTGCTCTGTGATTCTGAGCTTGGACAGATATACAGAGTGTATGATGATAACCATGATAAACACGCGCTACAGTTTCACTGTCCAAAACAAACACAAAACCCCTCCCTCCTACTGCCCTTTGCACTAGGATATTGGTAAGAGTTGATGATTCAGTGTTTCTTCTCCAGCTCACTCACTCAGGGTACCAGTGCTGGTATTGTATAACTCACTGCCTTGAGGACTCAGCCTCACCCCCTCATTCTGCCCTTGCCCACACTCTCCTGGGTTCTCTGGTCCCTGGTCACCTTTCCTTTTCTATCTCTAAGTCCCCCCCCACCCCCCGCATCTCTACTTTTCCTTTAAATATTGGTGTGCTTTCTCAGCCTGATGCTCTCTTCCAGCTACATCCTCTCTGGATGACCTTCCTAGCAGAATGGGTTTAAATACCACCTACATGCTGATGCCAGTCCAAATCTCCGGCTATGACCTTGCTGGAGTTCCAGGCTCTGCCCGGTATCCTTTTTTTCTATATATCTCCACTTACCTTTCCGACAGGTATTCTGGACACGACACAACCAAAGCCACATACATATTATTCTTCCCTACATTTGAACCTCCTGTTGGACTCTCCATCAGCGAACGGCCTCAGCCAGCCTGGAGGCAACTTAGTTGAACTTTGCCCTTGCCGTGTGCAGCTCACCTAGGGTGTCTGTAGATTTCACTCAAATCTGACTTTTTTATTATTATTATTTCTTATTACTGTTATTTAAATTTTAAAAGTTTTATTTCCACAGGGTGTGTGTGTGTGTGTGTGTGTGTGTGTGCATGGGTGCGCACGCACGCGCATGTGTGATCATAGTGCAACTTTCAGGAGTCTGTTCTGTCTTTCTCTCCTAGGTTGCAGAGTTTGTATTTAGATTGTCAGGGTCAGGCTTCATCAGCAAGATTTTATACCCAATGTACCATCAAAGCCATCTCTCCTGCTACGGTATATCAGACCTCTTGCCCCTGAGGCCCTAGCCTCCCACAGCCGCCCACAAGGACGCTTAGTCCGTTTGTATGCCTGGGAAGCTTTCCCACACTTCTCTAACCGGGTCAGATGTCTCCTGATAGACACTCAACCCACCGGCAGGTCCTCCGTGTACCTTACCTTGTGTGATCATTTGTTTTATTATCCGTCACTGCCAGACCACGAGCTCCTGTCCATTTTTGCTCTCCTTGTACCAGTACAGTACCTGCTAGTTCATGGCTGACAAGAAACAATTTTGGTGGGGGACAGATTGATAAATAAGTGAATGCCGCTGTCCAGTTTCACTCTAGGACTGTTGTGTGGTCATGTTCAGAAGTCAAACTGGCGGCAATTTCCCCTTAGTGCTGCTGTCTCTTATATCGGTCTCCTAACATGCTAAATGTAGCTTGCGTTCTTTTCTCTTTTTTTTTTTCCCATTTTCTAAAACAGTATGTTAAAGATTGGAATTAGGTCTGGCCTGATGATACACACCAGCAATTGGGAGGCAGAGGCAGGAGGATCCCTGTAAGTTCAGGGTTAGGCTTATCTGCAGAGTAAGTCCCAGAGCAGACAAGAGTACATTCATAATAAGACTCTGTCTCAAACAAACAACAAATATATGATGCTTATTTATTCTTAAGTGTTTTCTAGAATGTTCTGGTACACTGGTCTGGGATAGCCATTTCTTAGGTTGATTTTAAATATGGACTCCAGTTCCTTACAATTACAAATTTCGTTGGGTGTTCTATTTCTGTTTTTCAAGGAAATTGTCCATTCCATCTTCCTTGTTTGTTTATTTGGTTGGTTGGTTTGGTTTTTGTTTGTTTGTTTGGTTGGTTGGTTTTGGTTTTTTGAAGCAAGAGTTTCTCTGTATGGCCGTGATGACTGTCCTTATGGAACTCGCTCTATAGAACAAGCTAGACTCTAACTCAGAGATCCTCCTGCCTCACCACTACCATCACCACCACCACTCCAATGCAGGAGCAAAGGTGTGCATCACCACACCCTGCTGCCGGCTAGGTTTTCAAATGTACTAACAAAATGCAGTTGACAGTTCTGTAAGAAACTTTAAACTCCGTTGTGCTGATCTACAATGCCCATCTGATTCGTTCCTAATATTATTTTACACATAGCTTCCCTTATATGGATGAATTGGGCCAGAAGTCTGTGTTGTTTTGTGGGAAGGGCTTTGGGAGGGGGGGGATTGGTCTTTGTTTTATTTGTGGAGCCGGGGATCAAACCTAGGGCCTGTGGATGCTCCCCCAAGGTCTGTGGGGGATAAGTTAAGTTGTTTTATTGTTGATTTGTTTTGTTTAAACTGTGTGCATATTATAAACAGTTGTAAACTGCCTTACATGTGCTGGGAACCAAACCCAGGCTCCTCTATAAGAACTGTATTTGCTTTGATAGAGCAGGATTTGCTGCCCTCTCTCCAGTCCCTATCTGGGGCTTTTTAACTGGAGTTTACATGCTATAGGTGTTTCCAAAAAATCATTTTTAGGTTTTGGTTTGGTTTTTGTAACACTTTTTTTCTTTTTTATTCTTTTTTGTTCTTATTTATCTTATTTCTTGCTATTTAAGAATAAGAATATTGGGTTGCATAGCATCTTCTTTGTAAATGTCTCACCATGTTGCCCTCCCAGGGCTAAGATTATATGTGTAACTACTGAACGTTATTACATTCTTTTAGCTCTCCAATGTATCCTGTTACTTTCTCCCCTTTCTCCCCACCCCCCAGAATTGAACACAAAGACTCATGCATACTTGTCAAATTCTCTACCACTGTGCTACATTCCCAGCCTCTGGTGGACTCTTTTTTTGGTTTCTTGATGGATTTTTTCATCCTTTTTTGATTTGGTTTGTTTAGGTGTGGTTTTTCTGAAACAGGGTCTCTCGGAGCCCATGGTTGGTCTTGAACTGCCTTTACCTCTTACGTTCTAGAATTACAGGCATGTGACGCAATGTACAACCTAGTTAATTCATTTTAGACTTTTGTTTTCTGATTTTTATAAGGTTATAGACTTCTCTCTAGGTACCACTCAAACTGCATTCCCCAAGATACATAAGCCTGTTTTTTTTTTCAAGACAAGTTTTCTCTGTTTTTTTTTTCTCTGTGTAGCCCTGGATATCCTGGAACTTGTTCTGTAGATGAGGCTGTCCACGAACTCACAGAGATCCACCTGCCTCTACCTCGAGTGCTGGGAGTAAAGGCAAGTACCACCACTGCCCAGTGATGTATAGGCTTTTAAATGATTATCTGATTAATAAAAATTAGAATTTCTAAAAATGAAAAGCATTTGAAACTGTTGTTATTAATGTTTAACCAGACTGAATTATAATTTGTAAAAAGAGCAGTTTCTACATGCATCAGAAACTTGGTGACTTACTAAAGCTTACTTTGGTACATGATCAATATTTTATAAATATTTTTTATATTTTGGGAAAGGATGTATATCACTTTTAAGTAATTTTCTAGATGGGTCTGATCAGATCAAACTTGCTATGTGCATTAAGATTTGCTATAATCTTGCTAGTATTTTGTTTATATGATATGTCACTTTTTAAATGAGTACATTAAATTTTCTCTATGACTGAAGTCTGGCAAGATGGCTCAGTAAGTAAAGGCCTTGCTGCCAAGCCTGAGACCCCGAGCGAGTTCAGTCTCCAGGCCCAAACAGAGGGAAAAGGACTCCTGAAAGTTGTCCTCTGACCTCCACTTGTATGCTCTGATGCTTCCTTGTGTGCACCGCATATGAAACAAATATAATATACAAAATGAATAATTTTAAAGCTTTAAATATGCCCATACTTGCTAATTTCTCGTAAATCTCTCAAAGCTTGCTGTCTCTATTTTAAACATATGTTGCCAGAGGAAGCAAAAAGAAGTATTAAAATCTCCCCACTGTAGCTATGCACTTTTCTGTGTCTTTCTTCCTCTTGCTTTTAGCTTTGTGTATTTTTTTAAAAAAGATTTATTATATATATATGAATACACTGTCACTGTCTTCAGACACACCAGAAGAGGGCATTGGATCCCATTACAGATGGTTGTGAGCCACCATGTGGTTGCTGGGAATTGAATTCAAACCTCTGGAAGAGCAGTCAGTGCTCTTAACCGCTGAGCCATCTCTCCAGCCCCACTTCGTGTATTTTTTTTTTTAAGTTCTATCTTTTCTTTCAAGGTGTCTGTGTGTATGTGTAGGAATGGTTGTGCACATGCTAGGTGAGGTCAGAAGATTGTACTCAATCCTGCTTGGGTGCTGGGAACTAATTTGGGTCCTCTGCAAGAGCAACAAATGCTCTTAATCCAGAGCCATCCATCCATCCATGCTGGGATTACAAGTGTGTACCACCATGCCCAGAGTATGTTGTGCTGGGGATAAAACTTTGTGCATGATAGGCAAACATTTTACCAAGCAGGCAGGTGGTTTATTTTAAATCTACCCAGTTTTTACACCCCTAAAAATTTAAAAGTAAAGTTCAACTTTTTATTTTTATGGGTATGAGTGTTTTTCCTGCAAGTGTATATGTGTACTGTGTGCATGATTGGTACCCATAGAGTCAGAAGAGGGTATTGGGACCCCTAGAACTGGAGTTATACGTGTAGTGACACACAAGGTCAGTACTGGGAACCAAACCCCAGTCCTCTGCAAGAGCAGCAAGTGTTCTTAACAACTGAGCCACCTCTGCAGCCTCTAGTGTTTACTGAAACTAGTAAGTGTTAGAATGATTTGTTACACAGCCCAGATATCTAATACAAAGATCCTTCAAGATGTGCTTTCTATAGCTGCTTTGTATATAGGTTTGCAACAGGATTCATATGCTAACATTTGTAGAATGTTTTAGTTGGACCCAGAGCAAATGAACTACAGATTAGCTACAGAACAGCAATTGCGTATTACTAATGTCGTCAGATTGCAACACATTTCACGTTCAATTAACTGAAATGCTCTTTCAGGAGCATGGCTTGGCTCATCTTCTCATCCCTACTGCATACTTAGAAAAGGTCACTGTCAAGATAGAAAAGTATATATGTGATTTAAATGTCTTGACTCAGTTGCTAACAACCGAGAGCGTGTTTTCAAATTGGAAAAGCAAGATGAATTTCAACTTGCTCTTTTTCCCACAATGCTCTGTTTACTTTCTGGTATTGCATTTCTCTGCCATGCTGGGCGCCTGGCTTATTAAAGAGTCTGTTCATTTATCCGCCTCCCGGAGTCTCACAAGCCTTACTTTTTTCAAAACAGACATGCCAGACTTTGCACCCAAAATAAAAGTGAGTTGTATTTTTACTAGAAACCATTTAGTGAAATGCGTTTTTATCCATGAAAATTTCACCAAGTATAAATTCCCTGTCGAAAAGTAATGGGTCCTTTGTATTTTCCTTAAGTAAATAAATAGTTTCTTTCCTTGGGAACCATGACGACCGAGGCCACTCTTGAATTCAGAGATGGTCTGTGTTCCTCTAATAGAAAGTAAGCATGTGTATAGAGATCTTAAGTCGGCCCTTGCTCAGACACTGTGTAATGAGGGAAAGTCACTGAAGGTAGGAAGTAACTGGAGAGAAAAAAAGACTCAAAAAGATGGATGTGTTGCCGGGCGTTGGTGGTGTACGCCTTTAATCCCAGCACTTGGGAGGCAGAGGCAGGTGGATTTCTCAGTTCGAGGCCAGCCTGGTCTACAGAGTGAGTTCCAGGACAGCCAGGACTATACAGAGAAACTCTATCTCGAAAAACCAAAAAGAAAAAAGAAAAAAGAAAAAAGAAAGATGGATGTGAGATGAAACAAGATTAATGTTTTTCAAACGCCCTTACTAATCTGACACCTTTATTTATAATTATTCTCTTCTAACATTGTCTGATATGTTTAGATATGCAAAAGCCTATTTTAACTTCAATGAGAGAGAAAATGTTTTGTTTTTGTCCTAACTGGGAATAACAAAAGCTTTTTCTAGGGGGTAAAAAAGAACACCTAAAATATATTTAGCCAAAGGTTTTTTTTTTGTTTTTTTTTTTTTTAATTTTCTTTCCATGTTCACGTTGAACAGAGTTGGAAATCTGATGTTCTGGTTAAAGAGTTGTGTTCCTTTTCGCCTCTTACGGCTCTCCTTTCTCACCTCTGGCTCAAAATGACTGCAGGCAGCCAAGGTGCTCCAGCAAGGCTATACATGAATCGGGAAGATTTATGGACCGACCATAGGAAAGGGATGACCTTCGTAGGCAATGGGGGCAGGCCTCGGAAAACATTACCTTTAAAGAGTTTTAAGAGGTGCCCTGGGAGTTTGACTGTGGCCCCCTCTCAGCTTCAGCAGGAGACTGGCTTCCAGGGCATGGTAGGTATAAGACTTAAACAGGAAGTTTCCGTTCTTAATAAAAAAAAAAAAGCAAAGAAAAGAAAATACCCCAGGGCTGCTCTCCTGTGACCATTAAACTGTTTAACTGCTGCCTGCCTTTCTGTCATCGCTACGCTATTCTTATACACGGAGGTAAATATTTTATTAAACATCTTCGTGCTTGGCAGTTAGGAAGCCCTCTGCTGCCTAGGCCTGGCTGTCGCCCAGTATTGCCAGGGAGGGGGACGAGGGTGGTCGAGGCTTCACAGAGGAACTGCACAAGTTCACCGTTCTGTCCAGTACTTTCCACCTGGAAACTATTTTCTCCTCTGGCCTCTCAGACTTAATCTTCCATTTCTTCTTTTTTAATCAGCCACCAACTTAGTCTTGATGAAAGGAGCCGGGCTCCCAGAAGAAAATAGCTTTGCCTTTCAACTCCACCTGGAAACGGTTGACACGAGCCACCGCTACCTTCACTGACCTTGGCACTTGCCCCATCTCTGCCAAGGCTGGCCTCTGCCAAACAAATCTAAATATCACAGTTGGAAGTACAGGGTCTCCCCCGCCTCCAACCCTTTCTCTGACACACTATATGTTGTACCTTGATACCGTTCAACCTTCTCTGTAGTCATTCTGAGCACCCATACTCGGACCATCCACCACAGCAGCAGGCTCACAGACCCACAACTACACGTTAGTTTTTTAAAACTTTTGTTCCCTTTTGCACAATACAGGAGGTGCAGCATGGCAACAGTGTCACTCCATCATGTGTTTGTATCTCCGGAAGACCAGTCCAACAAAATCTATGCAGACATTTGTAAGAAATTGCCACTTTGTATTAGAAACGCACTTTGGAGGACTTTGGGTGAGAGCGCCCTCTTCTGGTGCTCAAAGGAAGCGCCTTTTACTGTAGGATCCCTCTTCTGGTGGAGCAGGGGGAAAAGACTCTTCTCCTCCCTTTACAGACTCATTCCAGACAGAGTTCGAGTTTCTGCTACCAAATTCTGACATCAAAATCTCCCCAAATTAGGGGTTTTCTGTAGCTGATGCCAAGACTCACCACAATAGCCCATGCTGCAATTTCCACAATTATTACCAATCAGCTAAAATTAAATAAAAAAAAAAAAACTAAAAGGAAGGGAACTCCAATAAATTGGAATAGAATCTGCTTAGGCGATTATGGTATTGACACAGAGAGACAGAGAGGGAGAAAGAAGTGAGAGAGAAGAATTAGGTGTAACGAGAACAAAGGGTAGACTGCAGTGCAAATTGCTTGCTGGGCAAGACACTCATGCTAAAAATAAAGCTGCCTGGAGAGGACCTAACAAATAAAAATGTACTGTGTCCATGGCAGGAGGAGCCAGAGGCTTTGTGAATCAACACACAATTAGAGCGGTACTGGAACGGGACCATCACCGAAGACAGGTAGTAATGAAGGTGACATGAATCTAAAGTGAACCAAAAAAAATAATTTTGTCACCATCCTCTTACTTTCGTGGGTGGGATGATGCTGGAGGCCCTCTCAACAGAGACTGGCCCCATTTCTGGGTTCTAGGCAGGCTCTCAAGGTTCCATCATTTGCTCAGCCAGTGCCACATGAGAAAGGAAGGCAGGACCTGGTTTTGTATCTACTAGTGTGGGTCATACATAATTGCAAGCATTAGGGGGAAAAAAAATCAATTGCCCAAGTGGCTGATGGGAGGCCTGGCCTAACAAAAGGCATTCATTAGAAAGGCATGTGTGTGTGTGTGGGGGGGGTTAGCCCATCTTAGGCTTGATGTGAACCCACAGTACAAGGAGGCTGTGGAGAACCCGAATGCTATCTTTACCTCTATTAATAGTACAGCCGAGTGTGCAAGAAGGGAGGCGATAATTCCAGTGTGTGCCAGCAGGTCAGGCCACACACAGTCTTATGCTTTGTCCTGCAGACTGTGTTTTAAGGGGTGCTGGCAAATTTAAGCCTCTCCAGACAATCATGAGAAGGATTGGGCTTTGGTCTTTAGACAACACCACGGTAAGCCTCACAATCCTTTCACAATGGGCAATATCAGAATGGCTCTGCACCAAATCCACGGCACCTCTGGAGCCAGGACCCGGAATCATGTTTCTGTATTTTGAGCTTTGGTGGCGAGGGTCCCCTAGTCGTATAAAGGGGCAATAATTACCCAATCTACCTTCAACATCATTTGGAGAGTTGTCTGATCATTCGAGCCAGTGCGTGCGGATCATCTGTGGAGGGGTCCAGCTGGGTACTAGGCAGAGGAAACATGAAGACAAGTCATGCCATTTGTAGTTGTCATTGAAGAGCCCAAAGTCCAATCAGGATAGACAAGCCCACAAGCAGACACTTGGCATCCAGTATGACAGACGAGGATGGGCATGTGCGTTGGTTTCAACTGTGATGCAATTAATGTCTTAAGAGAGTGATAGAGAAAACCAGAGCTTTCGTGGTATAGGCATTTGCAAATCCAGGAGGAAAAGGAATCACTGGGTGTGAGAGAGGAGAACCCAGGAGTGAGAAAACAGAGCCACAGGCTGGGAAGACGGCTCAGTGACTTAGTGCTTTGCCACGCAAGCATTAGAACCTTAGTTCGAATCCCCAGCATCCGTGTAAGAAGTTGTCGTGATTACATGCACCTGCTGGGGGAGTGAAAATGGGAGATATTTGGAGTTGGTTGGCTGTCGGTCTAGCTCCAAGCTCAGTGGGAGACCCTGTGTCATGGGAGTAAGTGGAGAGGGACAGAGCAGGACACCTGATGACATCCTGTGCCCATCCCCGTATATGCATACAGGCAAACACCACAGAGAGAGAGAGAGAGAGAGAGAGAGAGAGAGAGAGAGAGAGAGAGAGAGAGAAGAAAGGGGAGAGGGAGAGAGATTAGAACCAGGAAAGTTTAAGGTTACAAAAGACAATAGAAGCAGCTACCAGTGTTAGATGTTAACAGGAAGTTGGATGTGGGTGTGTCGTGACTGGAACCATGACCCAACAGTTAAGAATACTTGGTGCTCTTACAGAGGACCTGGGTTCAGTTCCCAGGATCCACCTCAGGTGCTCACAACTGCCTGTAATTCCAGTTCCAGGGATCTGATGCCACTTTCTGGCTTCCACAGATATCTGCACACACATGATGCACATGTATACTACACTCAGACACATACACACAACATACGAAATGAACTTTTTAAAAAGAAAACTACATCATTGAGGAGAAGGGCAGAAGGGCAAAGCATTGCTAGTCCATTCTCTAGAGGGAGAGTGTCCTAGTTGGGGTGACTTGCTGCAATGAAACCACAATAACCAAAGCAACTTGGGGAGGAAAAGCTTACACTTAAAGGTGACAGTCCATCACTGAGGGAAATTGGGACAGGAACTCAAGCAGGGCATGAATGAACCTGGAGGCAGGAGCTGATGCATAAGCCATGGAGAGGTGCTGCTTACTGGCTTGCTTCTCATGGCTTACTCAACCTGCTTTCTTATAACCTAAAGAATGACACCGCCCACGATGGGCTAGACCCTCATCCATTAATCACTAATCAAGGGAATGTTCTACTGGCTTACATGCACCCCAATCTTATGGAGGCATTTTCTTAACTGGGGTTCACCTCCTTCAAAGCTTGTGTCAAGTTGGCACAAAATTAGCCAGTGCATAGAGATTGGAGATTTCATCCACAGTGGTCAAGATTTTTCATAAAGATAGCACTGGTCAGGTGCTGCATGCCGTCTGTAATCCTGACATTCTGATAGCTAAGGCGGGAGGATCCTGTCCTCAAGTCTCAGGGTGTAGCTCAGTGGTAGAGCATTTACAGGCCCTGGGTTCAATTCATAGCACCACAAACAAAACAAAACCCTTCAGAAACTGATTTCATTTAGAAAGTTTGTGGAAGTGTTGATGATTGATTGATTTTTTTCAAGACAAAGTTTCACTGTGTAACCCTGGCTCTCCTGGAACTTGCTTTGTAGACCAGGCTGGTCCTCAAACTCAAAGATCCATCTGTCTCTGCCTCCGAAGAACTGGAACTAAAGACGTGTATCACCATGCCCAGCTTGGAAGAATGCATTTATTAGGCACCTACTACACACCCAGAATACTGCTACACATTATGAAAGTTCAAACCGCTAACAAATCTGTTGGAGCCCACTTCAATATTAAGTGATAAGCCTAGCACCTTTATAGCCTCTAGAGAACAGTGGAACCCCATGGTGTGACTTGTGCAAATGAGGGAGACAGGTGGAGTGGAGTTTCAGTGGCCAGTGGCAATGATCCTGGGTGACATTCCTTATAGTCACACAGAAGGGCCAGGAAAAAAAAAAAAAAAGAGGATGTCATCTCTGTGATGCAGGTGTGGTGACCTCCTGTTGGCTCCTCCACCTTTCTCTTGGGCGGTTTCCTCTCCCAGCAGGCCCCCTCGGGCACATTTCTTGTCTTCATATCCCTGGTGTTTGCTCCCATTTTGTTATTGACCAATGGGATTAATATTACTCTTTACCCTGCTAGCATCCCAGAGTCAACACGCACTGTGTTTTCATCAGCGGGCTTGTGTCTGGTTGATTAGTTATTCATGTATATTCATGTAAGAAGGACTGATACAGAGAAATCATGGTGGAGAAGACAGCCGTGCCAGATCTGGATTTGGCTTCTTTCTTCCTGCTCATCTTTGCGGGGGTGAATGGGTACAGGCAGGTAAGTGAAGGCATGTGGATTACTTGCGCAGATGGTTAAACCTTTCCATTAACCAAACGGGTGACTGGAGCCAATTGGAAGGAATTAAAACAAATGGTCCTGGCTAGTACATTCTCTCAGAATCCTCTGCACCTGAGACCCTCATCAGCTTCTGGATGTGACCAGCCCAGTCTCGAAACTAAAGGTCCCACATCCTTGAGTCAATGTCTTATTGTTATCTTTTGGGCTCGGTGCTGAAGAGTAAACCTAGGGCCTGTGAATGTAGGTTAATCACTCTGCCCCTGAGCTGTTAGCTCCAGCTTCCAGTGTACCCCATGTATCTTCTGTGTGCTGGTTTCTTTCATAGGTTGGGGTTTCACATGTGGTCCACATGTGGATTCAGTCTTCCCTGTATCCATCATGGTATCCATCATGGGATACCGAGCGCATAGCCCCAGTAGATTTGCACCGCACAGCCCCTTGGCTGTGACTTGAGGGCCTTATGTGACCTTGGTCAGCTTTTCCTGTGCCACCTGTCCTATTCTTCCTCAAAAAAAGAGAATTCTGATGCACTTCCAATGCCTGGAACATTCTAGAATGCAGCAGGAGCTCAGCAGGTATTTATTGAATAAATGAGCCTTAAATGTCCTCAATACTCTTCCAAAGGGCAGCTTTATTTTCAGAAAAGCCAACATTAAAATATCATCCGAGAGAAGGGATATATTCAAGAGATGATCGCTGAAATTACAAGGTGCGTTGACACAGGAAGTGTGTTTCCGGTCTTTAGCAACTGTATAAAATCCAGGGGAAGAGAAGTTTAACCCCCAAACAGAAAATATTTCCCACCTCACTTCAGATCATTTCCTATCACGTTATCCTGATGCTTTTTCTTTCTTTTTCTTCTTCACACTTCTCGAGCTGTGCAATTATGGTGTTGATTCACATTCCCTCCCTCACTGGCCGCTTCTCACTTCCATTCACAAGCAGAATATCGACCTTGCTGGCCCTGTTCCCTATACACACCTAGGATAAAGATTGTTCAGAAAGCATTAGCTCAGGAAGTGGATTTTAAGTGCTTAGAAA